CCCATCCTTTCATTCTTTAACCATGGTTGTCTTCAAGTGCACACTCACATAAGCACACTCCTTTGCATTTGGATGGGATAAACCCATTCCTAATAGAAAAGGAGCTCATCGTTTGAGAACAGTGATCAGAGACAACATGGTACAGTAGAAATAGCACTGACACTCCCATCACTTTCTACTTCTGTGACTTTGGGTAAGTCATTTAACCTCTCTCTGGGCCTCGGTTTCTTCATCTGCAAAATGATAAGATCGGACTAAATGGCCTACAAGGTCCCTTCTGGCTCTAAATCAAGGATCCCATGTATGGCTTCTCATGAAGATCCAGGTATAACAAATATGGCTCTAAATTTACTATACCTATCCACAGACTTGGACATAGGAGGTAATAGTTTGGGGGTAAGAGCTTTTCTCACACTCCCTCCAATAAGTCTCCTTAGTTCTCCTTAGAAAGATGAGCACCTACAAAAATCCTGGGCATGTGCTATGACATGGGTAACATATTCTCCATTTTTTTAGCACTGCCAGGGAAGTAGATTCTTCTGAATCATTAAATCGAGGGTTCTTAAACTGGGTTCGTGGATTTGTCTTTTTTTTTAATATTTTGATGACTATACTTCAATATAATTAGCTTAGCTTGTAAATCTATGTATTTTATATGATACATTTAAAACATTATTCTGAAAAGGAGTCCAGAGGTTTACCTAGACCATCCAAGGGGTCATGATACAAAAATGGTGAAGAATTCCCCACTCAAATAATTAAATGGGTCCAAGAGAACAGATTGCACCCAATAACAGCCTCATAAATGAGCCTCTATTTGAATATATCTAAAATGTCTGTTTTCCTTTTACAGAAAGGCAAAAAAAAAAGTGATGGACAACTCAGACAAGAACTTGGAGTATGACCAAGAACACTTGTTAAAACTGGAAAGAACAAATCGCAAGTGAGGGCAGGATGCTTGGAACTGTCCCCTGCCGCAGGATCTCTGAACATAACCCAAAGTGAATTGAAGATTCATCTTTGACCCTCCATCAACTGAAATCGCCTTGGGCAAGGTAGAAATTAATCAGCAAGACCTAAAACAGGTTTTAACTACACCAGGCCCTAACAGTTCCTCATTTGGAAAACAATCCACTGAACTGAGTTCAGGCAAATGCTTTATAGGTAGTGGGGATAACAAGGCAAAATACTGAGAATGAGGGGCCAGCCTTTTGAGGAATGCCAACTTCCTGCAAGAAAGTTCTTCCAAGGTCCATTTTTCCATTTGTTTTTTTCAAGTGTTATGTCATCTGTCCATCCTTCCTAGTGCTTCCTGACCATAATGACATATGGACTAAGCATGAGGAAATAGGAGATTTGGGTTGTATTCTGGCTCCGATACTAGGTGCATGACTGTTGGAAAGTTGCGTCCCTCCAGGGAGTCTCAGTTTTCTCATCTGTAAGAAAATAAAAGGGGGCATTTGTACTCCCTGCTTCTATGAGTTGTTAGGAGAGCACTTTGTAAACCTTAAGGAGCTGTATAAATGTTCACTCTTATATCTTTAAAAAAAAAAAACAGGACTTGAGATTTTTTTGTACCTATCAACATTCAGTAACATACAGTCTTAGCATTGACTGCAACACTGATTTGTCTAAAGTTACATTACTAATAGGTGACAAAAGTGAGACTTGAGCCCAGGTCTTCCTGACTCACAAGCCAGTTCTCTATTCCTTCACATCATGTTATATCATACTGGCAAAAAAAAAAAAGATAAGATTTAGGGCTAGAGGGAGCATTAAAATTCATCTAATCCAGGAGTTCTTAGCATCGTTTGAGTTATGGATGCCTTTGGCATGAAGTCCAAGATGCCTTCTCAGAATCATGGGTTTTTTTAGTTTATTTCATTTTTAATTTATGGAATAAAACAAGAATTTTCATAATATAATATAATAATAGAAAGATGATTGTACATGAAACTGCAAATCTGTTAAGTACAACTTGCTATTTGTTTTAAATATATAATGTCATCATGTAAATTTCTTTTTTTTCCTTTTTTTTCTTCCTTTCCATCATCATGTTTCTAAGTCGTTGAAGAAAATGTCAGATTTCAATTAGAAGTTACTGAAAATAAAGACATAAATTTTTCCCCCAAATCCAAGCTCTCAGATTCCCTGAAATCTATACACGGATCCCAGGTTAAGAAGCCCTGACCTAGTCCAGTGACTAAGGATATATATGACTAGAAAAGAATATAGGCCAATCAAGTGGTGAAAGTAATTTGGTCTCCATAGCACTAAGTTGAGTGTATAAGATAAGCATTAGTAGCACTTCCTGCTTCAACCTTAATGGAACTGAGGGTTTGGTTTGGTTTTTTAAATTCACAAAATACATGCTTGAAAAAGAGAAACCTTAGCTTATTTTTTTTTCTATATAACACTAAGAAATAGAAGTAAGGGGAAAAGAAAGTTTATTTAGATCACAAGCAAGGAAGTTCTGGAAGCAAGACCAAATGAGAAATGGGGCCACTGTTTCTCTGAAACCCTTCCATGCCCCTCTCTCTTCTCTACATCTGCCTCTCTCTGTCTCTCTCTCTGTCTCTCTGTCTCTGCCTCTCTGTCTCTGTCTCTGCCTCTGTCTCTCTCTCTCTGTCTCTCTCTCTCTGTCTCTCCCTCCCTTCTCAACTCTTCTTCCCTCTTCACCCTTCTCTCCTCCCACTTTTCTCTCTGCCTCTCTCAAATACACATAATCAGTTCAATTTAAGATTACTCCAAGGACATCGAGGATTATAAATAGGCCATAGTATTATTACAATTATTTGAAATGGCATAAAAGACATCAAAGAGAAGGATGACTGGAAAGGGAGGTGAACCAATCATGTGGCAAGAAAAATGATATCTAAGAGGCCTCAGAGGAAACTAACTTTATTTTGTTTCCCCAATTTCTAACAATCTAGTGAAGATTTCCTGTTGGAGTAGATGGATAGAGATAGATAGATAGATAGATAGACAGAGTGAAAGGGATATAGATGTATATGTAGAGCTATAGATAAAAAGCTTTATGTACATATGTATGAATAAATATATATAAAATGCATACACACAGGCCTATATTGTATGTGTATACACACGTATATGTGTGTATAGATAGATATAATCACAGTGGCCAGAGGCAACCACTCTACTGAGGCCACAAGGGCTGATGAATCCACCAGTACTGGTTTTTTACTGCCCTCTCAGTTTGCCCTAAATTCATCACTCTGGGCTTGCTCTTTTCCATAAGGAGATTTTGTTCCCCGGTACTTCATTCTGACCCTTCCCAACCCTACATACACACACACACACACACACACACACACACCTCATATTCCCAAGGAACAAATCCACCTTTGTCCCAAGTCTAGGACCCTGCCCCCAACGTGAAAAGTAAATTAATTATTCAGTATGGACAAAATGTACCACAAGTCTTAGTGCAGTTTTAAGCTACTAAAGCTTAAATAAGATCTGGAAAGGGGAGTTTATTCCCACACAGAAAGGGAATTCTAAGCAATTAAAAAGTCACAGAATGATTAGAACAGAGTCCAATGACTTATTACTACTAGTATAATTCAGCCTTTATTGGGACACAGTTTCTTTGCAAAGCTGCTAATTAGTCATTTTATATTTCATCTGACTGTAGTACTGTCAAACACCAAAGATATCTTCTTTCCAGTGGTTTTATTTTGTGTGTGTGTGTGTGTGTGTGTGTGTGTGTGAAAGCCAGTCTCTACCCACTTCTGATGGTTCTATTGTGGCTTTGTACGATCCAGGGTTGCTGTGAGGATCAAATAAGAGAATATTTGTAAAGCATTGTGCAAACTGTAAAGGGTTATATAAATGCTAGTTATTAACATCATTGTTATTCTATAAATCCCTTGCAATTTTTCATTATTATGGTTCTATCTAAAGCTCTGGTGCTTTTCATGCCCTCTGATGGCTGTGTCATGAAGCATTTACCACATGAATGTGTAGTTCTTGATAATTGCAGAGAGCCAGATTTCACGTCAATATCATTGGAAGGATTTGCCTGTTTTGGACCCTGACAAATCTGTAGGATATAAGTGGCAAGAAAGAGAGACAATGACATGAAAGGGTAGGATTATTCTGTGTCCCACTTAGATTACATTTGCACCTAAGGCCTTTTGAAGGGTAAATGAATCACTGAACACCTTGGAAAGGTTCCAAGGCTGTTTTCTCACTTCTATCCTTAGGCTTTGAGTCATAATATGCCCGATGCTTTCTTGATTGCACAGGCAGATATTAACTCGTGATCAAAATCTTTTTACAAAAAGAAAACACTTTAACAAGTATCAGACATTCTTTGTTCCACAAAGAACCTCAGTGCATGTTTTTGTTCTGTGCTGAAACATAAGAAATCCTAATGTAAAAACAATGTACAGGAATACTCTGGTCACTTGTCTTAAGTTTTCTTCAGAAATATTGCCAAAACCTAAACAAATTGTGATGTGTGATTGTAGAGGAATATTATTGCACTGTCAAAATAATGAATCTGAAGAACTGAGTAAAGAAAGGAAAGACTCATGTCAACTGATACAGAGTAAAATAAGCAGAACCAGAAAAACATACACATATGGCTGCAACAATATAAATGGAAAAAAACAACAATAAAACTGAACAATGTGCACTTACAATGACCAAACTGGGCCCCAGGGAAGAGTTGAAGAAAATACATTTCCCTCCTTCCTTTGCAAAGAAGGAGAATTATGGTTGTGGAACATCATGTATGCTCTCAGACTCAGTTGATGCCTTGGTTAGTTTTGCTTCGCTATTTTTTTTTCTCTTTCTTTTTGTTTTTAGAAGCATGGCTCACTGGAGAAGAGGAGGGAAGGATATATTTGGAAATGAAGGGAGTGTGAAAACAAAAAAGAATCTATAAAAATGATTAGAGAAATATTCACAAAAAAAATCAAGGTAGCTGAAACTCATTACATATTAGAAAAAAGGCTCCAAAGTTTTGAGTCAAATGTTTATTCTTAACAAAGAAAGACAATCATCAAAGATCAGAAATCCAGAAGCAATGTATGATGGTAAGACCGAGTCTAACAGACCTGCCCTGTTCTTACAAAACTTAACAAAATAGTTGCATGTTCTTCATGTAATCCCATGGGATTTTATGTTTAGGATCATAGGTTTAGTGCTAAAAGGGAACTTTAGACGTCATTTAGAGTCTGAAAAACAAAATAATTTTAAAGAGAAAATTCCATTATATATCCTCAAATGGAAAACCATATTACCGTTGAATCAAGATGTCCATTATCTTTGACTATGAGTTATTCATACCAAAAAATGTCATAATCTAACCACATTTATTTCAAAATACCTACATTTTAGAAGGATTCAAAAGAAGGAAGAAGCCCTAGATTTGGAATTTCATCCTTGGTGTAGAGACCTCAAGAAAAAAACAGCTCTCGTTACCAATGCAGATTGTCATTCCCTCTGGTAATTTATAGACTTAGAGAGTTATCTGGGAGTTATGTGGCTTGCCTGGGTCACAGAGCTAGTGCCTGGTACATAAATGCTTATTAATTGACTGATAATAAAGTTATGATCACAACCCAAAGATCTTGATTTTTTTTTAAGATAAATAGGTAAAAAGTCAGTGCTGACTTCAGTGGGTTAGTGGAAGAACATCAACAAAACCAGAAATGATTTTTTAAAACTGTCACTGCCTTCTGGAGAGCTGAGCAAAAAGCAGATGGGCAAAGTATCAGAGAAGCAACAATAGAGCAAGACTAAAAGGAAATGTGTGCTTCTCATCGTGCATTTCTGATGGTTAGTCAATCTTCCTTGACCCAAAAAACCATTCCGACAAGGCTACATCTCTTTTCGAGGCTACATCTCTTTTAGTTGCCCATTTCCTTGGATTTTTCTATCTGAAGGAAGATCTTGTTTTCTTTGGGCTTCCTCTTCCTGTAGCAACCACACAAAACAAGACAAAATCAATCAACCTATTAGTAAAGGAGTAGTTTAGGAATTAGAAGGAAGAATGAGTCATTCAGGGAGCAAAAAGGAAAGAACTAAAATACAATAGACAAAGCAGAATTCTTAGAATGGCTTTGTAAATGATAATGATAACAGTAACAGCAGCTGACACTGAACTTTAAGGTTTACAAGGCATTTTACATACACTCTCATTTGATTTAATCACAATTTTTTTCAACTGTTTTTCTGCAGAATTCGTAGTATTATCTGCTTTCATCCTATTAAATAGACTAGGGAAAGATATTAATTTAGAAAGGCCAAGGTCACCCGCTGCATCCTGAACCATCACCAGTCATCTTGATTTTTGTCTTGCCACTGGACTTTGATGACTCTGGAGGAGAGAGTAAGGCTGATGACTTTGTGCAGTTCTGCCTCACTGAAATCCGACTCACATAAAAGTCAAGACATCATTTTTGTGATGTCATTTCTCTTCTTCAAGAAGGAAGGACAAACAATAACAATATTAAATATCTTTAAGCACCAGACATTTCTTTGTCCTTTATAAGCGTAATGAGGCATTTTCAGCTGGAACCTGTCCAAAAGGAATGGAATGCCAGAGTATTTTGCATGTTTTCTTATGTCATTGGGGGGGGAGGAACAATTGGAGAAATATTACCATGAATGAATGATAACCAGGACAACATTTAGAAAACTCAACCCTTGAGATGTCAGCACATTGTCACACTGATGGAAAGTGCTCATGTTCAAGGAGAAAGGAAACATAGCCTCAGTTAACTTCCCTTTCAAATCAAATCAACAAATATTTATGTCCTTTCCCTTGGCATTTTCCCTTGAAAGTAGATGAAAAATGGAAAATGATCTCTTTAGCAATGGGTTGAGAAGAATTGATATGGATTCTTTATTCCATTCCTGAATCACTCATTTGGTCCTTTGGGACTGACTGAACGAAATAACTGAAATTGCCATACTAAAACATTAAGAAGTAATGATTGAGTCATTAAAGGAGGAGTAGTACCATGGAAAGGGTGATGAACTTGGGGTCATAAGACCTGACTTTAAATCCTGGTTCTGACATTTACTATCTATGTGACCTTGGTCACTTTAGACACTTTACCTCTTAGTGCCTGATTTTCCATATCTGTAGAATAAAGGGTCTAGACTGGATTATCTCTAAGGTTGCTTTTAGTTCTAGACCTATGATCCAATCTGTGTTCAGATTCTGTCTCTAACACTAGCTGGGTAGTCTTGGGATGGTCATTTAATCTCTCACCCACAGTTTCCTGTCTATCAATGACAGCACCTACTTCCCAGGGTTGTTATGAGGACAAAATGAGACAATATATGTAAAGTGTTTTCCAAACCTCATAGTGATGATATATGTTAGTAATTATCATTAAAAATTATTTTTTAGCTCATACAACAAAAAGACATTAGAACTGAAGAAAGATGTATTAGCAGGAGTTAAGAAGTGAGTTAATCATTAAAATAGACACTCTTCTATTATCATTCTCCTACAACACATCACCATAGAATTTGCATGACCTGCCAATGATATCGTTAGATGCATGTTGTCCTGACAGAAAGGTTGAGAATTTATTGTAGTCTTCCATAAAATACAAGCTGTCAGTTGTAATGAACGACCTCATTTCTAGAGAGCTGATGGTGAAATAGACCTCCTTTTCAAAAGTCGAGTAAAGGATTGAGGTGTGGAATATGATATATGCTATCAGATGTCACTGTATCTGCTGGTTTTTAGTAAATGTTTTTGTTACAAGAAGGTGTTCATTTGTGGGTAAAAGCCATAAAAACAAAAAGTAGTAATAAAGTTTTTTAAAGGAACTCAATCAGTATAGACAAAGGAATCAGAATAACTCTAAAAATTGAAGAAGAACATCGTTTTCAATAATGTGCCCAACTCAGAGTTTTGTAAAACTTTTAAGAATGTAAGCTGCCTGAGGGCAAGGGCTGCTTCATTTTTTTCTTTGAGTCCCTAGTGCCTGGCACGTACTTAATAATAAACGGATGATAATTAATTAATATTATAAATAATATTACATTCAGCTTAATAAATGTTGGTTAATTGATTGATATAATCTCTCAACACTCACAGTCACAGTGTAAATACTGTCTTACTGTCTTTCCCCACTTTGATACATGCATTCTCCTTTGAAACACTAAAACCACCAGGGCTATTAACTACTTTTTCTGGGTCCTGAAAGATAAGCTTCTTTTGAAGATGATAAGAAGTTTTACAAACATTTGGGGTCATTCTCATAGTAGATCAAAGGGTTTTGGTTTTTTCTGCCACAGATTTATAGCCTCCTATAAATCAGGAGGAAACCTATCCCACTTGGACACAACAAAAGTTCCCACTGGGCTTCCTCACCCTGTTGCCTCAATTTCAAAGGATGATTGCCATCAGTAAATATGTTCCTGCCCTGACACAAAGACAGGTCCACCCTCTTTTCTCCCCAACCCCTTACCCCATATCACTAGTGAAATTAGATAAGAGACTCCTATCTCCCTTCTCCACCTGGGAAGCAGAGAACCAAAGATTCAGAACTTAAAGCCTGATCCTTTGCAGATGGCATTTCTGACGAGGGTTTCCTGTCACTGAAGGACCTGAGGACCACTGAAGCAGCATCTCACCCCAGGTTCTCAGCATCTTCAATGGTCTCTGGTAACATCTTCCCCTTTGTCTCTGGTAGGAGCAACACCATTCCACTGGCAAGCACGCCAATCACAGCTTCAAACAAAGCACATTTAAGAGAACTAATGAACAGCAGATATTTCTGAGATCATTCTAGATTTGATGATAAAAATGTGGGTCACATTATGTGAACCATTGTGTTTAGACACTTAAAGCTTTATCATGCCCTTACACTGATTGCATTAAATTAATTAAGATGGGGGCCTGGAACTCACCTCTTGCCAATGAATTAAAGTCAATGAAACAAGGTGTGGGGAGGAGGGTGTGTAGTACATAAGAAAATTGTAGTTGTTCCTTCCCCCCAAAGGAGGCCTTTTTTCACAACACATAGGGGGATAACTGAGATAGTTTTGGGATTAGAAGGGTCAATTTCACGTTCTTTTCTCCCTCCCACATAATGAGGAAGGTCTCTAGCGACCTAAATGCTAGGAAATCAACCCATGGAGTCTGACACCTCACGTGCATCCTTACACAACCAAGGCTGGACAAGCCAATGTCCTCAACCAGATGTAATTCATTACACTCAAGGGCAGCTGAGCATAAAAGGCCTGTCTGAGGCTATGAAAGTTTCTTGCGTGCTTGGCCTTAACATTTAGATAGGCTCAAACCCAGGAGGTTTATGACAGCTCTAAAAAAAGGCTCACCCTTGCTCTCAGCCCCCAGCCTTCTCTGACATTGAAGTAAGTAATTAAAAGGGGCAAAGTCAAGGCTCCAGAACACGGCCCATCGCTTATAAACGTCTTACTTTCCCATTTGTCCTTGGTAAATTTCAGAATCAGGGCTGGGGAGGAGGTTGTAAGGGACCACAGAAGGGATCTCCAAGGCTGTCTAGACCAGCCCACACCTGAAAAACCATCCCTTCTGTGACGCACACAAGAAGTGGCCAGCCTGCCTTTGCTTAAAGACCTCTAAGCAAAAAGAAACCCAAGAAGCAGAGCCCCAAAGCAGCCAATACCACATGTGAATCATTGCAATAGCCGTGAAGTTTTTCCTTCAATCCAGACAAAATTCTTTGCTCCTAATTTTGCCCCCTAGGGCCTAGCAGAACAAAGCTAATCTCTCTCGCACCTTAAGAACCTTTCAGGGGCAGCTAGGTGGCAGTAGATAAAGCTCTGGCCTTAGAATCAGGAGGACCCGAGTTCAAATACAGCCTCAGACACTTGATACTTACTAGCTGTGTGACCCTGGGCAAGTCACTTAACTCCAATTGCCTCCCCCACCAAAAAAAAAAAAGAAGAACCCTTCCCATACTTGAGGATTGCTATCACAGACCCAATATGTCTTCTCATCTCAAGCTAAATATCGCCCCTTCTTTGTACCCCAAACATTTAATAAGTGTGTACTGACAGACTCACAGGTCCTTCTACATCTCCTCATGTTACATGATGTCCAGCCCTTTGGCAGCCTGATCCTCCTCTTCTGACATTCTCTGGCTTATCAGAGACCTTTCCAAAGGCAATAGTGCACAGACCGCTGATGGGAAATGTGGAAGAACTGAGTTTAAGATCTGCCTCTGACAGGCACTGAATGTGTAACCTTGAACAGTTTGGCTAACCTCTTCCCCCAGGCAACTAAGACTGTCAGTTATGTGAAATGAAGAGAAGAGAGGAGAGGACAGGAGAGGAGAGGAGAGGAGAGGAGAGGGGAGAGGGGAGGGGAGGGGAGGAGAGGAGAGGTAGAGCAGAGGACAGACGAGAGGAAAAGAAGAAGGAAGGAAAAGAAGGAAAGCGAGAAAAAGAGAGAGAATAGAAAGAAGAAAGGAATAGATAAGATGACTAAATGAATGAATGAGTGAATAAATTAAGTAAGCTCCATTGGTACTTGCAACTGGATGGAGAAACAGTCCAAAACTACAGACTGGTACTGTCTTCAATTTTAATTAAATCTGCTAACAGGAAAAAAACTTAATACGATAAAGGTTATAACCACAAATGATGATGACTCAATAATAATCTTGGTGGGGAGGACTGGAATATATGCATGGTCCCCTATGTATTGTATTGTTAATAATTCTTTAAATGTGGAGTTGATGCTAGTGCTTTAGCATTTTAATTTATAGATGTCTTAGAAAATACTGGCGTGTTACTTACTATGGTTACCAAATATTTGAATGTAGTGAAGCAAACAGCAAGAATATTGCACAATTGAGAAAAATATCCCAACACTGTTGCCCTCTGCAAGGCCCAGCTCGCTGTAAAATGGTGCTGTGCCTCCCCCGAGTGTTTGCACGTCAGTGAAATCAGGTTAAAACCACCAGGGCAGCTTGACGGAGAAATGAGAAAGTCAAGCAAGGGCAATGTGAAGTCTGAGGGCTGGGTGAACCAGTTAAGGAGAGATCTGCCTGCAGGCTGTGCTTTGGTGGGGACTGTAGGAAAGGCAGGCAAGTGATGCCGAAAGATCAACAGATTTGTCCACAAAGGACGCACCTTATTTTAAAGCCAAACCTGGCTTGTGCCACTCACTCCCTGAGGGACCTTGGGTAACTCATTTCCCTTTAGAGTTGGAGTAGGTGACTTCGAGGTCCTGTCCAGCTCTAAATCTAAACTCCTATGACTTCTGACCCATGTTCCTTCTAGCCAATTCTATTTGCACATGAATCTCAGGTCTCTTCAGCACCAGAGAGCAGGACAGTCAGAAGTAGCTAGGTGGCATAGTGGAACTATCTGTAAAGCAGCTGGGCCAGAAGCAGAAAAACCCAAGTTCAAATCCAGCCTCAAACCCTTACTAATTGTGTGACCTTGGACACGTCAAACAGCTTCTGTCTGCCTCAGTTTCTTCAACTGTAAAAGAGGATGATAATAATGCCATTTACTTTCCTGGGTTATTGTGAGGATCAAGTAAGGTAATATTTGTAAAGGGCTTTGTACGGTGCTTGGCACATATAAATGCTTAATAAATGCTTGCTTCCTTTTTCCCTCCGGCACTGATTGCCTCAATGAATCATTGCCCAAGTAAGGAGGGAGAAGAGTGAGATAGGTTCAACCTATAGGTAATTATAAGATCATACAATTTTAACCCAACCATACTATGTAGTCAGAGGACCTGGGTTTAAATCCCTTACTAGTCATGTGACATTAGGCAACTCACTTAACCCCTCCTGGGCCTCCATTTCAAATGAAGGGGTTGAACTAAAAACCATAACCAGAGAGGTTAAGTAATTTGCCTATGGTCACATAGTTAATTTGTAACAGAGATGAGAATAGAGTCACTCAGTGAAAAAGGTGCTAAATTTGGGATTAGTGGACTTGAGTTCAAATCCTGGCTTTGCCTGTTACTACTTGTGTGCCTGGGCAAGTGATTTAACCTTTCTTAGCCTCAGTTTCCTCATCTGTAAAAGAAGACAATCAAACTAGATGATCTATAAGTCCCCTTCCAGTTCTAAATTGATGATCCCATGAATCCAGATCTCTTAATTCCCAATTCATTACTCTTTGCACCATGATACACTGCCACTTTCTAATATTACTTCTCAGTATCCTAGGGACAACTCTGCCTTTGACCTAATTCACTGTGAGCTTCTAGACCCTTATCCTTTTGTCTTTCGGGGAAGGGAGACAGAAGAAAGAGGGAGAGAGTGAAGGAGATGCCTAAAGGAGGCCTTCCCACCTCTCATCCCTTTTTCCCTGGGCACAGCTAAAAAGACAGTGGAATCCAACTGGGTCACATAACTACCCAATTAGAATTGGTAAATTTCTGATGGCAAAGTTTGTGAGGGCAAAGGGTACTTTCTTGATTGTCCCTCTCTCTGCAAGGACTAGATGTCAAGCCACCTATTAAGAACCAGGGCCTCCCACAAACAAAGCCTATGCAACCAAGATTAGAAGGAAGGTAGAAAATTGGGAAAGAATTTTTACAACCAGTCTCTCTGATAAGGGTCCCATTTCTAAAATACATAGAGAATTAAGTCAGATTTATAAGAATACAAGTCATTCCCCAATTGATAAACGGTCAAAGGATATGAACAGGTAGTTCTCAGATAAAGAAATTAAAGCATCTATAGTGATATGAAAAAATGTTCTAAATCACTATTGATTAGAGAAATGTGAATCAAAACAACTCTGAGGTACCACATCACACCTATCAGATTGGCCAACATGACAAAACAGGAAAATGATAAATGTTGGAGAAAATGTGGGAAAATTGGAACACTAATGCATCGTTGGTGGAGTTGTGAAATGATCCAACCATTTTGGAGAGCAATTTGGAACTACGCCCAAAGGGTTATAAAAATGTGCATACCCTTTGACCCAACAATAGCACTTCTAGGGCTATATCCCAGAGAGATCACACAAATGGGAAAAAGACCCACATCTACAAAAATATTCATAGCAGCTCTTTTTGTGGTGGCCAAGAATTGGAAATTGAGAGGATGCTCATCAATTGGGGAATGGCTGAGCAAGTTGTGAATGTAATGGAATACTACTGTTCTATAAGAAATGATGAACAGGCTGACTTCAGAAAAACCTGGAAAGACTTGTATGGTCTGATGCTGAATGAAGTGAGCAGAATCAGGAGAACATTATACACAGTAACAGCCACATTGTGCAATGACTAATATGACTTAACCTTTCTCAGCAATACAAGGATCTAAGACATCTCCAAAGGCCTCATGATGGAGAATGCTATCCACAAAGAAGAAAGAACTATGGGGTTTGGATGAAGATCCAAGCATACTATTTGCTATTTGTTTTCTTCTGCTGTGTTTTGTTTCCTCTTTCTGGTGGTTCCTCCTATTGGCTCTAATTCTTACTTACAACATCACGAATGTGAAAATATGTTTAATAGGAATGTATATGTATAACCTATATCAGATTTATGCCATCTTGGGGAGGGAGATGGGGAGGGAGAGGGAGAAAATGTTGAAGCTCAGGGGCAGCTAGGTGGTGCAGTGGAAAGAGCACCAGCCCTGAAGTCAGGAGGACCTGAGTTCAAATCTGACCTCAGACCAAACACTTGACCCTTACTAGCTGTGTGACCCAGGGCAAGTCACTTAACCCCAATTGCCTAAAAAAAAATTTAAAGCTCAGAAGCTTATG